CATCAGCAAGCATCCCCACTTCTGACTTTATGATGGAGGGAAGTTCATTGATGAAGCAGCTGAAGATGATTGGGCCTAGGACACCACCCTGAGGAACTTCTACAGAAATGTCCTGGAGGTGAGATGAATGAACTTTAAAAACCACAACCATCTTGCAATGTACCAGGTAGGGCTCCAAACAATGGAGAGTTTGCCCTCTGATTCCAGTTTTGCTGGGGCTCCTCGATGCCATACTTGGTCAAATGCAGCTTTGGTGTCAAAGGCTATCACTCTCAACTCACCTGTGGAGTTTATTTCTTTTGTCCATGTTTGAATCAAGGCGGTAATGAGGTTAGGAGCGGAGTGGCCATGGCGGAACCCAAACTGGGCATCACTGAGCAGGTTATTGCTGAACAGGCACTGCTTGATAGCATTGTTGATGATACATTCCATCACTTTACTGATGATTGAGAGTAGACTAATGGGATGGTAATTGACCAGATTTCTGGCAAGACGCCGGCAGGGTAAGTTGCTGCATTCAGAACTCCACTCTGCTCGCCAGTTCTCTTTCTCTTTCATTTTTGGTTCTTCCTTTTTTTCTCCCTTCTTCTCTCTCCCTCTGTAGTAATTCTACCCCCCTCCACCCCTTTTACCTATCTACCTAAGGAGTTGGGAAGAAGCTCAGTCGTGAATGGGAACCAATTAGCAGGAGCTGGATGCACGGGTTGTGTCCTGCCGGAGCGATGGCAGCATATCAAGAGTGGGCTGGCGAGGCAGCAGCGGCAAGAGCAAGCTGGTGAGTGGGCCGATGAGGACCCTGGCAGCGGCACGGTGAAGGCTGGAAAGCCTGGAATTGGACTTTGGCAGAGGCATGGTGAGGGCTGGAAAGCTCAGAGCGGGACTGCGGCAGTGGAAAGGAAAGTTGGACTCTCTTAAGTTATCTTTATTTTTCTTATTCTAAGTTAATGTGAATGGTGCCATGTATGTATGGTGAAGGTACACACTTTACACTGTACTTTTACAATGAATACAAGTTACAATAAATGATGTAATTCAATTTAGGTTGGGATTGGTCCTGCTATTTGTGTACAGAACACACCCAGACAATTTTCCACATCATCGAGTAGATGCCAGTATTGTAACTGTAGTGGGAGAGCTCAGCTAGGGGATCAGCAAGTCCTGGAGCACAAGACTTCAGTACTATTGCGGGAATGTGGTCAGGGCCCATAGCTTTTGCATAATCAAATGCCTCAAACTGTTTCTTGATAACACGTGGAGTGAATCAAGCTGGCTGATGACCGGTATCTATAATGTTGGCAATCAATGGAGCAGGCATAGATAGATCATCCACTTGGCACTTCTGGCTGAAGTTTGCGATGGATGCTTCAGCCTGATCTTTTGATGTCTTGGGTTCTTCCATCATCGAGGGTGGGAATATTTTGTCCTCACCTAGCATCCCACCAGTATCTACATCCACAGGATCAACTGCCATTTTTGCCACATCCAGCAGGATGCCGCCACTAGATACACATTTCCCTCCCCTCCCTTGTCAGCCTTCTGCAGGGCCTGCTCCCAAAAGGACATTCTGGTCAACTTCTCCTTCACTCCCAACATGCCTCTACTCTTCCTACCAAACTGCACACTTTCCCACATTGTATTCTATTTGACACTTCTTTATCCATTGTTCCTGACTGTTCAAGTCCTTCTGCAGCCTCCCCACTTTGTCAACACTTCCTGTCCCTCCATCTAGCACTGTCATCTGCAAACTCAACAACAGTGACCTCAGTTCCCCTGTCCTGATTGTTAATGCATAATGTCAATAACTGTGGTCTCAACACTGACCTCCATTAGTCACTGGCTGCCATCCTGAAAAAGACCCCTTGATCCCTATTCTCTGCCTTCTGCCAAACAGCCAATCCTCTATCGACGGCAGTAACTTGCCCCTAACACCATGGGGTCTTATTGTATTTAGCAGCCTATTACATGGCACTTTGGAAAAGGCCTTCTGGAAATATGAATAGATCACGCCCACAAGGTCTTTTTTTTAAATCTAACTTGCTCATTACCTCCTCAAAGAATTCTAGCAGTTTTGTCAGGCATAACCTCCCCTTGACGAAACTGTGCTGACTCAGCCCTATTTTAACATGCACTTTCAAGTACTCTGCAATCTCATCCTTAATAATGGACTCTAAAATCTTACCAATGACTGAGGTCATGCTATCTGGCCTACAGGTTCCTATCTTCTGTCTCCCTCTCTTCTAAAACAGTGGTGTTACATTTGCCATTTTCCAGTCCTCTGGCACTCTCCCTGACCCTAGTGACTCTTTAAAGATCACCACTATGCTTCTACAATCTCTACTACCTCCTTCAGAACTGTGTGTAGTAGTCCATCTGATTCAGGTGATTTATCCACCTTCAGATCTTTCACCTTCCCCAGCACCTTCTCATTCGTGACAGCCACTAAACTCACCTCTGCCCCTGACTCTCTTGCAGTTCTGGTATGCTGCTCATGTCTTCCACTGATGCAAAGTATGTATTCAGTTCCTCCGCCATTTCTTTGTTCGTCATTTCAACTTCTCCAGCCAATGCCTACTCTTGCCTCTCTCTGAATTTTTAGAGATCCAAATAAAAATCTTGCCACCTTCTTTAATATTACTAGCTAGCTTATTCTCATATTTCATCCCACCCCCAACATTGCTTTTTTAGTTATCCTTTGCTGGTTTTTAAAGGCCTCCCTATCCTCTGGCTGCCCACTAATCTTCACCAGTGTATGTTTTTTATTTTGCTTTTATGTGTCCCTGACCTCCCTCATCAGACATGCTTGCCTCATCCTCCCTTTAATATGCTTCTTCTTCCTTGGAATGAATTTCTGCTCTGCCTCCCAAATTAACCATCCAAAATTCCCGAAATAGCTGCTCAACTATCCTTCCTTCTAGGCTCCCCTTACAATCAACTTCGGCCAGCTCCACCCTTGTGTATTTGTAGTTACCTTTACTCATTCTAATGCCATTTCATCTAATTCCAGCTTCTCCCTCTCAAACTGCAGAGTGAATTCTATCATTTTATGGTCACTTCTCCTGAGGGGTTTCTTCACCTTAAGCTCCTGAATCAAATTTGCCTCATTACACATCATCAAATTCAGAATTGCCTGTTCTACAAGCTGCTCAAAAAAATAAACCTTCCATAAATTCTTTCTCTTGAGATCCACTACCAACCTGATTTTCCCAGTCCACTTGTATTTTGAAATCCACATGATTATAGTGCATCTCTTTCATGCCTTTTCTATCTCCCGATTTATTTTCTTCCCCACATCCTAACCACTGTTAGAAGGCCTGCACACAACTCCCACCAGAGTCCTTTTTTCTTTGCAGCTTCTCAACTCTACCCAGGCAGGTTCTACACCTTCCAAGTTCATTTCATTTTTTGCTATTGATTTCATTTCATTTTTTTCCCACAAGGCAACCCTGTCTCTTCTGCCCATCTGCTTGTCCTTTTGATAAGACACATATCCTTGGATATTTAGTTCCCAGCCAGATTCCCTTGCAGCCACATCTCTGTGATACCTGCAACATCATACCTTCCAATTATAATTTGCGCTACAAGCTCATTTAACTTGTTTCGTATACTGTGTGCATTTAAGTACAATATCGTCAGTCCTGTGTTGACTGTCCCCATTCTGTCCCCTTATCTGCTGTGCCTGAAGTTCGATTTTTGACCCGTTCCATACTCTCTATCCAATTACTTGTTCTGGAAACTGTAATAACCTCTGCTGAGTCTCCTGTCTCCCTTAACTCCTTCCATAATTTTGCATGCAACTGAACGTTCTCTTCCCCAACCCAACTCAGGTGAAGCCTGTCCCATCGGAACAGCCACCTCCTCTCCTGTCCCACAAATTCAAACCCATTTCTCTCACACTAATCTTTGAGCTACGAGCTTATCTCTTTAATCTTGTTGATCTGTGCCAATGTTGCTCATGGCTCAGGTAGTAATCTGAAGATTATTACCTTTTTGGTTCTGCTTTTTAATTTAACTCCTAGCTGCTCATATTCCCTCACCAGAACCTCTTTCCTCTTTCCACCTACATTGTTGTACCTACATGGACCACGATAACTGGATCTTATACCCCAAGTTCCTCTGCAGCCTAGATGAGAGATCCTGAACGTGGGCACCAGGACAGACAACACAGCCTTTGGTACTCTCGATCCTGGCCACAGAGAACAGTGTCTCTTCCCCTGCAATGTCTGTAATGGCCTCGATTACAACTCCATTTCACGTTTCTGAAACCACGTTCCCCCAACCCCCGAATGGCTCCCTTAACCACGGTGCTATGGTCAGTTTGGTCATCTTCCATACAGGCCCAGTCTCATCCACACAGGGAGCAAGAATTTCAAACCCGTTAGATAAGCTCAAGAGCTGAGGCTCCTTCAGCACTACCTCCTGGATCACTCTCCCTGGCTCGCTTATAGTTACATTGCCCTGTCAGCGACTGGTGGTGATTTAACCAGAGGGTCACCATGCCGCAGGCAAGGGGAGAGGTTGAGAAGGAGAATCAACCTCTGCTGGTGTGGGAATTGAACGCATGCTGTTGGCATCAGTCTGTACTGCAAACCAGCCACCCAGCCAAACAAAAACTATTGAGTTCTGAACATAATCCATCTTGAACGAGCCATGTGAGATTTGTCCAGTCATCCATCCAAGATGTGATCTGAATAGAAGAAGTGATGACCTCGCTAAGGACATGGAAATCAGAGGAGCAGGTGAGGGAAAGGTTCAAAAAATCGACAGCCATAGTGGTGTTCTATAAAGTACGGAGGTATGGTTAAGTGCTAAAGTTTGCTTTTTTTGAGTATTCAGTATGACTTGGCAACTGAGGAAATCATTGCAGTTTGAATACATATAAACAATAATAAAACAGAAAATGTTTTTATCACGTAAGTATAATAATTACCAATTGCTAAACTGCATGTCATACACATTTGAAAATGCAAAATAAATGTCACAAACAAAAATGGACTACATACCTCATTCCCTTTTTCTCATGATAATCTAATTCAGAGCTTTGAATTGAATCAGCATAGGAGTCCCGTGAACCTTTTTGGAGCTGTGGCCGTGATGTAACAGGAAACTGATGTACAGATGCATTGGGTTGGGAAGTGGTATGGTAAGGTGGTGGAATGCTGTTACTGGTCTCGCTACGATAATCACTATCTCTGTCATCAACAGCACTATCAGGATCTTCAAATGCTGAAAAAATAGACAAGAAAACATGCATATCGATAATCTATGATATGTTCAGTTAGATAAGTGTGCAATATTTCAGGTTTTGTCTACTTTAGAAGGCAAGTAGAATTAAACAGACATGAGAAGATCCTTAGACCAAAGCACCATCTTTCAGCACTGGATTTTTAAAAAAATTTCAAACTAAATGAAAAAAAACCTGTTTTATGCTAAATATTCTGCACTCTGCACATCAAAAGAAAGAGGTAAAGCATTTTAATTTTCCTGTACAGTCAGGTATTTACTTACATAGAAATCAGATATATTGTTTAGATATCTAATTACAACTCTTTCTGATGCCATGATGTGCAGATATCAAAGCGAAACTGTAGCTTTGAGAGGGTTCATGCAGGCTCTATTTGATAAAATTCATGCATACATTATTTTTCTTGTCATTCTTCAAATACAACAAAAGGAAACAAATATATGATGACTGCACATCGCACATTGCAGAGAAGAAAAGCAAGCTTTGCTGGTGGCAACTACATGAGGGGAAAAAAATAATGTAATCATACAATGAGGGATGTATGTATCCCCTATTTGCATGAATACTCCAGGTCTCTCCAGTTGGAACATGCTAATGTAGGAGTCAAGGTACTTGTGAGCAATAAATCATTACATACTTTGCTGCTCTCCCCATCCGAAATAACTCCAATTGCCTGGTGGATGCAAATGTTGGCAAAGAAGGGGAAAAAGAAGACTTCAGCAAAACAAGGGGTATAACTGTCTTTGTTCCAGATAGAAATCTTAATGTTTTAACTCCTTGCTAATACAATTATGCAACATAGCATAACAATTCAAAAATAAAATCTTTTGTTCGTTCACTACAGCCTGTTAATTGTTGAGGGTAAGTTATATTCCAAGCACTTAATGTATCTCATCTCCTTCCTTCCCATAACAAGGTACTTTAAATAGGCGAACAACTTAAAAAGATAAGACAGAAATATTCGTACGGTCATTATTGTTCGTGGAAACTTTGATGCTTATGTCCTTATATGTATGTGCATTGACTAAATACGAACTAGATTATTGCATTACTCCAGAGCAAAATTGTTAAGCCATGACCTAAAATGACACTATTTAATTTCTTTAAGATACATTGTTCAACATGATTGAAAAAAATAATATTCAGGTGACAAAGAATTGTTGCATCAATATTCCACTCAACATGGTGATAGAAATTGCATTTCATTCAAATTTCTTCACAGTTAAAACATTCTCACAGCGCAGAAGCAAAAAAAAATAAAAAAATTCATTCAGCTATTTCTAAGGGCTCCTCTGGTTGGTCTAAAGTATCAGTTGCAAAACCTTCACATCATATAGTCCAACGCGTTCATACCGACCAGATATCCTAAATAAATCTAGTCACATTTGCCAGCATTTGTCACATACCCCTCTAAACCCTTTCTTTTCAGATACCCATCCAGATGCCTTTCAAATGTGTAATTGTACCAGCCTCCACCACTTCCTCTGGCAGCTCATTCCTTAGATGCAACACTGCACCCTCTGCATGAAGAAGTTCCCCTTAGGTCCCTTTTAAATCTTTCTCCTCTCACCCTAAACTTCTGCCTTCTAGTTTTGGACTCCCCTACCCTGGGGGAAAGACCTTGCCCTATCCATGCCCCTCATGATTTTATAAACCTCTAAGGTATAAACCTCAGCCACTGACACTCCAGGGAAAACAGCCCCAGCCTATTCAGGAACAAAAACAGAAGTTGCTGGAGGAACTGAAGTTCTGAGGAAGGGTCCTCGGACCCAAAAAACTTCTGTTTTTGTTCCTGATTTACAGCATCTGCAGTTCTTTTGGTTTTTACCCAGCCTATTCAGCCTCTCCCTATAGCTCAAACTCTCCAACCTTGGCATTCATAGTCATTCACAGAATCCCTACAGTGTGAAAACATTGATTCAACCCAACAAGTCCACACCAAAGCTCTGAAGAGCATCCCACCAAAACTCATTCCCCCCACCCTATCCGTGCAACCCCTACAGCTAATCCACCTAATCCACACATCCACGGACACTATAGGCAATTGAGCTTGGCCAATCTACCTTTGAACTGAGAGGGAAACCGCAGCACAGGAGGAAACCCACGCAGACATGGGGAGAATGTGCAAACTCCACACAGCCAGTCACCCAAGGCTGGAATTGACCTGGGTCCCTGGTACTATGAGGCAGCAGTGCTAACCACTGTGCCACCCAGGCAACATCCTTGTAAATCTCTCCTGAACCTTTCAAGTTTCACAACATCCTTCCTATAGCAGGGAGAACAGCATTGCATGCAGTATTCCAATAGTGACCTAATCAATGTCCTGTACAGCTGCAACATGACCTCCCAACTCCTATACTCAATGCACTCACCAACAAAAGCAAGCGTACCAAATGCTTTCTTCGCTATCTTATCCACCTGCGACTCTACTTTCAAGGAACTATGAACCTGCACTCCAAGGTTTCGTTGTTCAGCAACACTCCCCAGGACCTTACCATTAGCTGTATAAGTCCTGCCCTGATTTGCCTTTCCAAAATGCAGCACCTTACTTTTATCTAAATTAAACTCCATTTACCACTCCTCAGCCCATTGGCCCATCTGATCAAGACCCTATTGTACTCTGAGGTAACCTTCTTCGTTGTCCACTACACCTCCAATTTTGGTGTCATCTGCAAACTTACTAACCACACCTCCTATGCACATGGTTTTTACTGAACAGAGGCTTAAACGAGGTGGAAAAACACAAGATAAAGAAAAACTCTCATTTCCAGAAGTACAGTTTGACTGCATATGAATCTTTCAGATCCTTAACTGCCATCCAGAATCACACATTTGTTACTATTGAAAACATTAGGTGCATGAACAATTACACCAAGCCCTTAAAAGATTTTAAAGCTTATAGCTGGTAGGGAATAAAAGGGGAATAAAGGAATATATGGTTCTAAAGATTGGCAAAAGATGATTGGAAAAGATGATGTTACAGCTTTTTCTTAATTTAAGCACAGACGGCAGGTTTTCTTACCTAGACAGATACAAAGTCGCTAAGGAAGGCAACCTGCTGATACTGACTGCCCTGCATTCATTTAACATGTGACAGGAGATTAATTAGCTCAGGGCAAGACTTCCAGGTGTGAAAACCCATCTTACAGAGCTGACAGTCAATGGTAATACTGGCAGCTCTGAACTCTCTAGAGCAATGTTCAAGCTGTAGCCGTTGCTAGAACTATAGACAAACCCCATTCTGATGGCAAGTCCTGACTAGCTTGCTCAAAAATGGAATGAGGGGTTTTCAGGCTTGGATTGAATGACCAAGAGGGTGAGGAGTGGTTAAAGGATGCTTTACCCTGGAGGTGTGAGGGGTTGTGGGCTGCCCCTGATGAGCACAGTAGACTTCAATAGAAGGTATCCTTCCCAGCGATTGCTCAGTAGTAGCCGATACCCTAAAGCTGTTGAGTTACGAGCTTGAAGTAAGCCCTTCCCCACCTCTGCTAAAATAGCAAAAGGAACAGAATGAAAACTTTAAGTGAGCCTTAATTGACCAAGTCAGTGCCACAATAGAGAGACCAACACAACAATGGCCTCCATTCCTGACCCTCCGTTATGGACCCACCTGGCCTCCCTTATGAACTATCCTCCTCTATAGTCCCAGCTTCAAATCACCCAACCCTACGGTACCTAAGCTTTTAAATTCAACATGTACACACCCCCAAACCCTCAAACCCCCACAATCTCTTTGCCTCCATAACGCAGCTGTTAAATATTTTGTAACTCACAGAATCTCAGTTATCTCTACCTCCTGAAAATAAACAGCCCTTTTTGAATTTCTGGTTATTATTCCTGAATTTCTAGGGATGTTTTTGGTATTATAACAGTTCGTAAGGTCAGTACCAATTTTCCTTAAATGCAATTATTATCCAAGGACGACAGGATCACAAGAACAAGTAGGAGCAGAAGCAGGTCATTACACCCATCAAGCCAGCTTCACTATTCACTGAGATCATGGCTGATCTGATAATCCTCAACTCCGCTTTCATGTCATAATTTTCAATTTCATTACGTATTAAAAATCTGTATATCTCAGCCTCGAATACTTAATGACCCAGCCCTCTTCAGTAAACAATTCCACAAATTCATCCTCAGAAAACAAATTCCTCCTCATCTTGGATTTAAATGGGCAATCCCTTACACTGAGATTATGCCCTCTGGTTATGGCTTCTCCACAAGAGTAAACAACCCCAACATAGCTATCCTGTCAAGTCCAGCTAAGAACATTGTTTGTAACAATATTATAAGGTCTTATTTCTTTCTTTTAAATTCCACAAATACAAGCCCAACTTATTCAACCTCTCCTCCTAAGAAAACTACTCCATATCTGGAATCAACCTATGAACCTTCTCCAAACTGCCTCCAACCCCAGTATATCTTGCCCTAGTTAAGGGGATCATAACTCTTCATATTATTCAAGTTCTAGTCTGATTAGTGCCTTGCACGGTTTTAGCAAGCCTTTCTTATTATGACACACTTTTGGTTATTAAATGAAGACCAATAGTCCATTTGACTTTGCAATTGTCTGCTGAATTGGATGTCTTTTCTTTATCATTCATGCACGAGGACCCACAAATTCCACTGTGCTGCAGCCTCCTGTGGTCTTTTTCCATTTAAATAATGTTCAGCTCTTCTATTCTTCCTGCCAAAGTGCATGATATCATTTTCCCACAATATTTGTAGTTAACAGTCTAATGATGATCATGACTCCATTGTTGAAAAAAAGCCATCTGGTTGAGTAATGCCCGTCAGGGAAGGAACCTGCCACCCTTACCTGGTCAGGCCTACACGTGACTCCAGACCCACAGTAACATGGTTGACTCTTAAATGCCCTCTGGGCAATAAATCTGATCCAGTCAGCGATGTTATCAACCCATGAATGAATAAAAAAAAATTCCATCTGCTAAATTTTCTGACACTCAATCAACCTATCTAT